CTCCTCTTTAGTCAGGGCAATATGTGATCTCCCATAACTGCCCATGGTTTTGTGGCTCCTTATCTGAATGAGCAAAATATAACAAAGAATTTGATGCTTGGTCTTGAAAGGTAGATAATAAGACATTAGTTGAAAAACATTGACAGGCAGTGTTTCCATAAAGTGCTTTTACATTTATAACATGGTTGTCTCCTTCATGCTTAGCAGACTTGAGATCTTGAACAGTCAAGTTGGCAATGGCACAAGGGCGGTGCCCTGACACACAGCCTGCATAACTTGCAAAAAACCCAAACAGGAGATGCCGGGCGGTCATGTTTTATTTATTTTTACTTAGCTTTGGTATCAAAATTGTTATCTACCAAACTTAGAAAAATTACATATTCTGTCTATGGTTTAAGCAAGAAAAACAAGAGTGTTCTTTTGAATTGTTTCCTCACTGAAAAAAAACACCTTAGAGGAATTATGTAAATTTTCTATAAAAATCCCTTCACAGAATAATTACATAATCCCCCTATGTTATTTTACAAAGAGAAATTACAAAAAAAAAAATGGCAAACACTCGAACAATTACACATTTTTGCTAGAAGTCCAGAAAAAAAATGTAATCTCTGAAGAAGTACGAAAAATGTGTCTTACCTCTACAAACGGCACTGCTAAAGTGAGAAAATAGAGAGTTTTTGTGTTATTACATGATTTTTCTGTCTGGCAGCAAAATTGCAGAACTTCTCTATCCAAGTTAGAAAGTTAAAAATTATATAATTTTCCTACTATTTTCCTAACTTTAGCAAGAAAAAACTTGAAGTTTCTTTTCGTCTGGGAAAAAATAGAAGAATTATGTATTGTTGCTACAACTATAGAAAAAACATGTAATTTCTGGAGAACTATGAAAATGCATCCTACCTGTAAAAGTGAAACCTCTGAGGTGAAGAAATTCAAATTTTTCTTTGTTTTTGTAATTTGCATAATTAGTGACATTTTGCAGTACCATTACATATTTTTTTCTAGTTGACAGCAAATATGCATAACATTCCTACCAAAATGAAATATTATGCAAATTTTCTATTTTTTTTCCTAACTAAAGCAAGAAAAAAACATTGATTTGACTAGGTTGTGCAAAAACTACATAGAAGAATAATGTAATACTGACTTAAAATCACACATTTTGATTTAAAGTTGCATCATTTTCCTATGCTGGTATAGAAGTATTCAGTAATTTTAGAGCTACAGAAATTTTAAGGAATTATATGTGATTTTAATATGAAGTAATACTGAAAGGAAAATTATGAAATAATCAGTTGACTAATGAAAATGTACAAAAATGTTCTGAAATGTCATGGTAAAACTGTATATACTGCAAAAAATAAAAAAGCATGGCATTTAACTAGATTGTGCAGAAAGCTCCTTAGAAAAATAATGTAATATTGACTTAAAATATTGGCCCTATTATCAGGAGATCGCGAGTTCGATCCCTGGTGATGCTACAGCCTCATTCTCCCCCCATCACTTAATGCAATGCTAGTCAGCACAGGCATCTGTTAGCTGACGTAACAAATCTGGCGGTTGGTGTTCAGCTGTCCAACGACGCTGCATGAGCGGTAGTTTGAAAAGAAGCGGTGGCTGGCTTCACAGGTCTTGGAAGCCTGTGTTAGCCTTCGCTCTCCTAGCGTTGATAGTATCATGTGATTGGGGGAGTCCTAACTAGCGGGTGGAATGGCTAAATTGGGGAAATAATTGGGTTAAAAATCCAAAAAAAGAAATGCTCAGTAGCTTTAGAGTGACAGAAATGTTAATGAAATTTATGTGATTTGAATATAAAGTAACACTAAAAGGAAAAGTATGACATCAGATGAGTATAGAAAATTTACAAATTCAGAAACCAATGTCAGAAAAGTATATTATTTTTCTACTGTTTTCCTAACTTAATCATGAAAAAAGGGGTTTCTTTTGACTGGACTGTGTACTGGAAAAACAGCCTGGAAAAATTACCCTGGTATTGAATTTACCAGAACTTTATTAAGACCGTGTGCAATAGGCCTCATTAACTGTTATCATAGATTTGGAAATATTTAGTAATTACAGAGAAATTACAATTTTTTTCAGTTTATATAGAAAATTTACAGAAATGTTCTATAGTAGTTAAAAAATAATTTTGAAGTTAAAATTACATTACTGTACTGTGATGTTATTGAAATATTTAGTGATTCTAAGATTTACAAGACATTTACATAATTTTAATATGAAACCATACAACACTTTTGTAAGCTTCCTTGAAGAACTATCTGACATTTTATAAGTTTTCTATGTAGATAACCCTTCATTTAATTTTCAATTTTCTTTCAGTTTTAATTTATTGTTATACATTACTTTGAGTATTTGTTGATTAGTTTCTTTTAGCTTATGTTTTAACATAAACATGATGTTTTAGGACATTTTTGTGAATTTTCTATAGTCATACAATAAATTTGTGTTTTTTTGTTTAAATATTATATAACATTTCTGTAATAATTCTATACAGACATAGAACAATTCTTTGAATTTTCTATATAGACATAAAACAGTTCTGTAACTTTTGTATAAAGACAGAAAACATTTTTGTAAATTTCCTGTATAGACATATAAGAATTCTGTAGTATTTTTTCTAGGCTAACAATAAGCAAGCCCCATTGCACTAAAGATCTTCAGTAAATAACCCTAACCCTATCTCTGGTCCTAAATTTAACCCTTGTCCCAGTGCTAACCCCATGTCACATCTTAAAATGTGCTCAAAACCAAATTCCAACCCTAATTTCAGAAAAACATTTAACCTTTTTCCTAACCCTAACCCTAGCTCTGCTCCTGAGTTTAACCTTTGTCCTATTCCTAACCCTTGCTCTGGTCCAAAATTTAACCCTTGTCTCAGTGCTAACCCATGAGTCCATTATGATGAAGCCCTTAGATGAAGATTTTATATTATATATATCATATTAAAAAAACATTGTTGCCAACTTTGATGAAGTGACTAAAGTGAGATTTTAAAGTGACACTGAAATGAAATTATCACTGCATGTATGAGTATGTATTCATTGTCACACTTACAACATTAATTCCAACCATATCTCATAACCATTAGCATGTTGTTCTTAAAACAAGTTGCTCACCACTCAAACACTCACTGCAACAGACTTATACCTACCAGCCACTTTTAATACATCTACCTTGTATTTACACATTTTGTCCATTTTATTATGTCCATTTACCTTAAAGATGTCCTTCGTAGTTCTACAATTACAGACAGTAGTTCATCTGTTTCTCAGCATACTTTGTTAACTCCACTTTATCCTGTTTCTCAATGGACCATCACAAAGCAGGTATTATTTGAGTGGTGGATCATTCTCAGCACTGTAGTCATGTGGTGGTGGCGTGATAGTGTGTGTTGCGCTGGTACAAGTGGATCAGACACAGCAGTGCTGCTGGAGTTTTTAAACACCATGTAGAAGAAGAGGATAAAAGGGGGCTAACATAATGGGCAATGAGTATAGAAACAAGGAGATGTATTTAATGATGTATATTGTGTTTCTGCACCGTGGATTTCTTCTCATGAACTTCACTCAAGCTTGCATCTTGTCTCACTTCATTCAGTACCTAGTTTATAACAGGCAGTCAAACTTATAATTTATAGAGTGGAACTACTTAATCAGCTAACTCAGTATAGCATAATAAATCAGATCCAGACAGAACAAAAAGCCAAGATGTTTTTCGCTTTACTCTCACTGCTGCGTTTACATATTTTTACAGAAATAGTTTTCAAAACAAACAATGCAAATGTTTTGTTAATCAGTTACATTGAAGGCTTTTATTGGTAAGCTGAGCTAATTGATCTTACTCACTGAAAAAGTCAGAATCTCAGCTATAAAAAGTATACCCTTATTTATTGTTTCTAACTACTATTTTAGAACATTCTTCACTAGTTTTGCAAAAATCACTTGTTCTTTGTAACCAAAGACTCAACTGAACAAGATAAAAAAAAATTCTTAAGAGTTTTTAACCAAATCATTCAGTTGTTATTAAAGTTTCCTTTAGATTTGACCTCAGGAACCTCAGAGAACACATGGATAAAATAAAATAGAATCATCTTTGGTCACTCTGTGAACCTGGCAGGAGGGACATATTACATGAATCATACAAATGCATGAATTTTGAAAAGTGTACAAATTAATAGCCAAGTGTTCAAATCTCCCAGTGAGCATGATGATCAGGAAATGGATGCTGCATCACATTACGCAGACACTAGAAAAAGCCATTCTAAGGTCCAAGCAAGACATCTGAGTGAAGCCCCAATCACTTTGAGCTACACACTTCACAATATCAAAACATCTACATAAAGTGAGAAAGTGGCAAGAAATAACTAATTACTTAAAGAAACAAATGAAGTCATGTTGAGAGTTTTCTAAAATGCATGATAGTGATCCACTTAAGATGTGGGAAAATGTTTTGTAGTCTCATTAGAATGAGAAAACTCACTGTGCTACATGTGGTACAAACCCAACACTGCCCCTGCCTCAAGAAATACCATCCCTAAAGAAAACCACGGTGGTGGCTCCGGAGTGGAGCAACCGTCTAAGCGTTGGCCCTGTCATCAGGAGATCGCGAGTTCGATCCCTGGTGATGCTACAGCCATCCGTAGCCGGGAGTCCAAGAGGGCACAATTGGCCTCGCTCTCTCTGGGTGGGGAGGATGGCCCCTCCTTCTCCCCCATCATGCAACGCGATGCTCATCAGCGATTTCCTCCGAGTGTGTTCAGCTGTCCAATGACATTGCGTGAGCGGCAGTTCGAAAAGAAGCGGTGGCTGCTTCACAGGTCTCGGAGAAAGCTTGTGTTAGCCTTCACCCTCCTAGCGTTGATGGTATCGTGTGATTGGGGGAGTCCTAACTAGCGGGTGGAACTGGAGACGACTAAATTTGGGGAGAAAACTGGGTAAAAATCCAAAAAAAAGAAAAAGAAAAAAGAAAACCATGGTGGTAACAATATCACGCTGTGGAGATACTTTTCATAAAGCAGGAATGACATATTAAAATTGATTCAATAATAATAGAAAACAGAAGCAGCAAAATATAGGAAAGCCTGCAAAAGATCTTGCTTTGTTCTACTACAAAACCACAGCTTAGGCAAAAGTCTTTAAAACCATAAAATGTTGACTCAGATAAACCTTCATTGAAAATAAGAATGTGAGGCCTTCTTTATTAACTATTTAGCTTCACCACACGTGCTTTTTAAAAGAATATACATTTTTCATTTAAAATCTGCATGCTAATTAAGAGGTAACCAGACTAATTATACATTCGAGAAGCAATAAATATTTACATAAAATCAAAGTTGACTAATTTACAGACAAGCCCTTTTTTTTACAAACACATTGTATTCTGCAACCAATCAAATGCAAATACACATCTGGGATGGACTGAATTATTAGGCATTATTGAGCAATAAAAGTCCAAGACTTTGTAGACGTATGTGTACAATAAAATCAGCTGCAAGCAGGCATATATTTACTGACCAACCGATCATCTCTTTAAAATGCCCTTTGGCTCAGAGTTGGTTCAGTCTCATTTGCTGGACAAAGGTTCCTCCTGCTTTTCTTCTTGCTTTATGTAAGTAAATAATTTGTTGACTGAAATCCTCCAGTGAAGTTAATTCCTTGAATGTTTCAAACAATGCCCAAAAGGGTCAAGTCTGCCTCTTGCTGTCCCTGCTGCTGCTGGGTGGGTGACAGATAGCTGTGCCCTGAAAACTCCACTACATTAAGCGGCGTTTCCTCAGGGGATTTCCGTTCTTTCTCACGCCTACTTGTGGCTCCACTACTTGCCTTGGAAGTAATGGTTTGGCCCCGAAATAGTTGGGCCTGCTGCTGGCAGAGGCCAACCTTGCTGAGCAGGATGAATACATCACCTCGAAAGGCTTTTGTGAAGATGGCATAGAGGAAAGGATTAGCACAGGAGTTCAGTGGGTAGAATAACACCAGCAGGATCTTGGAGTTGGACATGGTTATGAGTGGGTGGTCCAGCACAGCCGACATGGCATAGAATGAGATAGGTGCCATGCAAAGAAAGTCAGTGAAAATTAGTACAGCCATACGCTTGGCTATGTTGGTGTCTTTGCTGGCTGAGGTGTAGTTGGGGTTGTGTACAGCACAGTATATCTTGATGTAGCAGGCACAGATGACCACAAAGGCCACAATGTTAAGGACAAGCACAAAGAGGATGTATATTTGGTCCACTAGGGTATGGGTGTCCATGGGCAAGCAGATGCTGACCTTCTGGTAGCTGCTGACCCCTAACACAGGCATAAGGGCCAGCAGGAGGCAGAAGAACCAGCCCCCAACCATGACGGCACAGGCATGGGACAATCGTAATTTCCGATCTAAGCGCATTGCAAAATTGATGGCATGCCAGCGCTCCAAAGTGATAACAGTCAATGTGTAAACTGATAACTCGCTGGCAAAAACAGAGAAGAACCCAGCAAGGGTGCATCCTGGCCCTGTCTGCCAGTCAATAGCATAATTGTAGTACTCTGACTGTGTATAGAGGTCCACTGAGGCAATGAGAAGCAGATAGATTCCCATGCACAAGTCAGCAAAGGCCAGGTGGCACATAAGGAATCGGGAGACAGAGAGTTTATAATGGCTAGTGAGCAGCACAAAGAGCACCAAAAGGTTCCCCAGTACAGCCAACAGACTGACAAACCAAACAGATACTCTCAGAAAACTGAAGCCCGTGATGTCCTCGCATGGGTTGAACTCATCAGGAGCTGGGGAGCATGCCACCTCCTCTCCATCCTCACACACAACATAGTCATAGTGGCTGTCAAAGTCCTGGCTGGTGTCCCCCTGGGGGTTCTTCAGCGTGTCCCCAAAGCCCATGTCATGGTCAGGATGACCACCAAAAGAGGCATGGTAATTTAGCCTACTGTGGAAGTCCTGATGGTCATAGGCCTCCATAAACAGAGTGTCACTAGTGTCGATGTCTTGGTCTATACTACCATGAAGGGCTGGCACTATGTGTGTGCCTACTGATCTCTTATGGTGCTGGTCATACATGGCAGTCAAGTTACAAATTATATACTCCAGGAACCTGTTATTGACAGAAAGAGGAAATAAGGTAATTTTGCCAGCAATAGAACTTTTAATGCTATGAAAATTATTAAAACATACACTGTTTTTGTCATAAAGAAATAAAACTAAGCAAATATCCCTGGAATGAAAAAACATCTGATAACCCCTTAAAAGAAAACAACTGATTAGGTGCACTATGTTAGCCAAAATCTATTACCCAGTGTAAACAGAAAGCATCACAAACATAAAAGTTTGTTTCTTCTCTTGGCATACAGCCTTTGCATTATTTTCCCCCATAATTTAACTTACAAACCCTTTCTTTTTCTTAAGATTCTTGAAAGCACAGCAATGACTTGGATAAGTCAGATCAGCACTGATCAGATGCCTGAAGGTTTTGACTGGGGGAAGCTTTTTGAGGGCCCAAACATTCCGAGCGCTGAGTTCCCGGATTGACTCCAGGCCACTTGTCGGAAGGGAAGTGACGCCAGAGTCTGAAACATCACTGAAAAGAAATAAAATTAGAGGGTTCAGACAAGGGTCAGGAAAAGGAAGACAGGTTGTTTATTCTTTTGGGTCCTAATCTATGTAGAGCATGGGACAACCTTTAGATTCTTACATTAGGGTGGATGTAATACAACATATACTGGGCAAAATGTACTGGAGCAAATATAAAAGTGATGTTTGACAAGCCATTAGAAGATTTACATGGATAGTAATGTCATGTCTAAAAAATAACTAAAATAGATAAAGAAACAGCTGTGCAATCACAAGCAAAGAGACCTTCTTCTGAATTTTCCACATCTAAATATCCCATGATTTTATAATCTTGACTGCATGTGTACCCTAGACAGCAACAGATATCTTTTTCCTTATATCTAAAATCCTAGAAAAGCGAAGATAATATTGTGAAAAGTAAAAAAGATCTTCAGTTTTTTCACGAGTCACGGTGTCCTCTTAACACATCACTGCAGCATGGGGAGCACACTTTCAGCTAAGCATCTGATTTTGTCATTTTGAGATAGTTAGTCAGTGACTCATGGTTATAATTTCACTCTTGACAGTCTCTTGAGGGGCCTTGCTATTAAGTTATTAGAAAGCTATTCAGCACCCCACTTTAGTGTGACTGTAGCCAAGATCCTGTTTTGCATAAAGTTCATGGTGGGATCTTCCATTCTGGTTTCATGCAAAGTTCAGACAGTTCTAATGGTATTTAACTATTAAAATTAATGATACGTCTCAATGTTCTTGATCTGAAGTTGACACAGCACCTCAAGTAAGCAGAAAATCTGACAACCATTACATGTTTTGACAATCCCAATCCCAATTCAAATAATGTATTCAGTATTTGAATGCAGTGCTTATTTGAGTAAAATTAAATCATAATACCTTTATTTGTTCTTGAATATTTTACTTGTATTTAAGTATTTTACTTAGCTACTTTATTTTTAATAACAGTTACAAAGTAAAAAATGATTTTCAGCTTTTAAACTTAGAAGGAACCATGATTAAACCTCACACAGATTCAGTTCTGAAAGACAATCAAAGAAAAAATGATGCAGTTCAGCCTTGCACATTTTAGCGATTTTCCTGCTACCAACATATGTTACATTTGACTCACCAGCTAATTAGCAAGCCCTTCCTGATTTGAATTAGTGAGTTAGAGCAGGAAAAACAATAAAATGTTCAACAGGCTCCCCTAGGACCAGGACTGAGTACTAGTTCAGACCAGTGACTGTATGAAACAGCCAACATGTACAAATACACTCACTGACCACTTTCAGTGAGTGTATTTGTACAAGATTATGGAAATTCCACAAGATTATGGAAACATTCCTTTCAGATTCTGGTCCATGTTGACTGCATGATGCAATTGCTTTTGGCATGTTCATGAAACCACATTGTGACATGCTGCTCAAACCAGTCTGGCCATTCTCTGTTGGCCTCTCTCATCAATAAGGCATTGCCATCTGCAGCACTGCCTCTCACTGGATGTTTTTTTCTTTATTGCAACATTCTGAGTAAACTGTAAAGACTGTCATGTGTAAAAATCCCAGGAGATCTGCAGTTATAGAAATACTCAAACCAGCCTGTCTGGCACCAAAAATCATGCCATGGTCAAAATCGCTGGGATCACATTTTCCCCACTCTGAAGATTGATGTGAACATTACCTGAAACTGCTGGTCCATATCTGCATGATTTTATGCACTGCACTTCTACCACACAATTGGCTGCTCGGGGAGTGTATGTCAGAGCCAGTGGAGACAGAGGGAGATCATAACAGTGCACATGAAGAACATACTTGATCCATTTGTCATCTATGTTCATTTTAAATGCAAACAAGAAAATCTGTGGAACCCCTGAGGTAGCATGTACAGGAGAAACTACTGGATCCCTAATATTAGCTAAACAGTTACTGTGATATTTTACTACATTTTTCTTGTTGGTTAAAGAAAACAAGCACAATAGCTCTTTATTAAACATACTTAATATGTTCTATTTTGAATGCCTTTTAGCTGGCTAGTTTAACTAATGTAATGTTAAAGGTGACTGTTTATTAATACTCTTACTCATAGTTAAGTGAATTATCACTACAGAGGCAGAACTCTTACATAAGTAGGACTTTTCAGTACTCTTTCCACCCCTGGTTGTGAACTGGAGTAGGGCAAAGAATCTAAATAAATGAAAAAAGTTGTGAGGGGAAATCTTTTGCTTATTAGGCCATCATTTCCCCTGATAAAAAAAAAAAAAAGGATTTTTGGTATCCTAGACAGTCTGGATATATATATATATATATATATATATATATATATATATATATATATACACAGTACTAACACTACTAATACTATACTAATAATACTGTATGTTATACAAATAATTCTTATGACGCACTAAACACAGAAGGACAATGTACAACACTGCAAAAAATTGTAATGGCTCTATACACAGAGAATTTAAAGGTGGTCCTAGAAAAACCAATGGGTACTCACAGGAGCATTGGACCACTGATGGTTTCTGCAAACATGCTCTCTTCGAGTCTGGTGAGATGCTTGTTTCTGTGGAGATATCTACAGAGGGATGGAATGCAATGTTTTCATGGTCTACAATATTGTTTCTCACCCCAGGTCCTCTGGACCAACAAGACATTTCATTTGCTCTTGCCTAGCTTTGAGAATACATGCATCAGGTATTCAGTGTTCCTAACTTGTTCTTGGCTTGGTTCAGGTGGTGTAGGAGCTTGGATAGAGCATGTTGATCATATGGTGGGCCCTGAAGACTGGAATGGGAAACACCGAAACATACTGCGTTTTCTAGCTGTGATGGCGCATAACAAGAGAATGTGAATGTTAGTAATACTGTCTACATAACAATGTAATGTAATAGGAAAAGTCATAAGCACTAAAAAAGTTCCTCAAGAGTTTATACATGAAAGAGTTTTTGTGGTGACCCTTAATTCAATACTGCTTTTAGATTGATAAATAAATTGTATAATGCAATAGTGTCACCCCTAAATAACCTTCCTAGGGACAGAACTACACTATCCGGCATTATTCTAAATTTGAAACACATATTTTATAATCTCTAAATCTAATTAAGATAATACACTTGTGGGGGAGGAGTATGTGCTTTTCTGTACTGGGATCAGTCCTTGTGTTGCACTTGTAGACTGCCAACACAAACATGAATGTGGCAAAGCAGAAAAAGAAAACCAGCTGGGATGCTCAGATATATTCCCTTTAGCAATAAAGGAGTGAGAGAGAGAAGGAAACAGTTCTCACAAAAATTAATATTTAATATCCTGACCAGAATAATGGTTTTACTCAGGGGACAAAAGTTAGGTTAAAAGAATAAACGTATCTTGACTAAAGAATCAAAAAGCAACCAAAAAAGACCTCTCCACCTGGAGTGAGATCTGAATTGACTGTCTGATACAGAATAATCCCTACTTTGAGTGAGAAACTGATGGAGATGTTGCTGGAATACTAGAATATGCTATTTTCATGTTTCATTTAGTTATCTAATGTAAGCATTACCTTCATACAGTCAAGATTTGAACAAAGGTTTAAACAAAAAGCCTTACACAGCATCTAGTTTTGTTCCATTGAAGGCATGGTGTTGAATTTTGGTAAAGCCATTACTGTACAACATCCTGTTGGACAGAAATAAGTAAGTCAGGTTTTATTTTTACTTGAATGATGCAACTATAAAGACAGAAGCCAATGCACAGAAATAAGAGGATAATATATTAAGCCATGTTTTAATCACTTTTTTTGCACTTTTTTGTTTTAATCATGAACATTATTCAATTACTGCATCCCTCAAAATACTACAGTCTTGATGAAGGATCCTTCATCAAGGGTTCATTAGTAAAGAAAATGATTCTATATAGAACCATTAACACTCAAAGGGTTGTTTGTATCATGAAATGGTTCTTGCTGTAGATGGTTCTATATAGAACCTTTTTGAAAAGGGTTCTTCTATTGTTACAAGCTTGACATCGTCACAATAGAAGAACCCCTTTGAGTGCTATATAGAACCCTTTTCAAAAAGGTTCTATATAGAACCATCTACAGCATTCTGCTTTCATGATGCAAAGAACCCTTTTAATCATACAAAATTCAAACAAAGAGTTCTTTGAGTGTTCATGGTTCCATATAGAACTATTTTCTTTACTAAAGAATCTTTTAAGAACTGATAATGAGAAAAAAATGGAAATAGTGAATTTATTACTATACTTACACTGTTAATACATCCTTGGTAATGCCTTGGAATGCATTGGCAGGAATTTCAGTGATGTAAAGATTATCAGTAATTTCTCTTCAAAAAAAGAATAAAAACAGAATTGCAATATGAAAAGTTCTTAGTATTTCCTAGTAATAGTAATGCTTTTGTCTATTGTACAAACGTGTAGAAGGTATAAGAGACATGAACTTGGAACTTGAAACAATGATCATAATACTATCATGAAATCACCACAAACTATAAATAAGTGTTTTGTCATTTTCATTTGAAGTTTTTATGGAAGTTTGCTTACAGCATAAAGAGTGGATCTTCAGAGTGGATCCTGGTTAGGTCAGGAAACACGGTGAGACCAGTGTTGAACAAACCTCTGCAACCATAACACCACTCATATGATGACTGAAACATTAAATATTCTTTGCATTTTATCTATGTTAGTTTTCTCTTCATTATTGGGATCAGGACCTGACAGGAGAAATATACAGTGCCTATGAGAATGATGAGCAGAAAAGGCTATAAGAAAAGTTTTTGTTTCTAAAATAACATTATAAAAGAAGCAAAATTATGCAAAGTAAAAAAAAAACATCCTTGCATAATTATTTTTGTCCCTCAAAATCACCTGAATTGTCAGATGAACTAGGAGGACAAAAAAGGTATGACTTTTTTTTACTGGAAAGACAAAAGATTTTTGTGTCATACACCATGACGCCTATTATATTAACCGAACACCTGCTGTTGCTTGGCTGCTGTGTTTCTTTGTGGGACCTGAAGTAAAGTTTTTTATTGAGAATTGTAAGAGTGAATAGATTTTCTGTCCCATCAGGAGGACTGACTCCCATTAATATGTTTGATAGTGCTAGAAGTGGACCTTGCCTGGCCACCACATCACTGTTTTTGCTCTCTCTCTACACTTCGATGACAATCATAAACATGTTCAAGGATGTTCACTATTATGCTCAATATTACCCAACTGTAAGTGACAAAATTATGTGATAATTTTAGGATTAGCAGACAATTTGAAGGTGAAATTAGAGTCAGGTTAGATTGTGTACAAATGGAGGAAATTCAAGACCATTGTTACGCTCCCCAGGAGTAGCTCACCAACAAAGATCACACCAAGAGCAAGGCGTGTAATAGTCCACGAGGAACACTGGGTACTTTTTCATTTTTGACTTATTTTTGTCTCATTTGTATAATTTGGTTCTCTTTATCTACTATTAGGGTTTGGGTGAAAATCTGATGAAGTTTTAGGTCAAATTTATGCAGAAATATAAAAAATTGTAAAGGGTTCACAAACTTTCAAGCACCACTGCGTATATATCTATAGATATCCCTAGATACCCTAGATACATGAGCTAAAATATTTCCAGAAACAGTAAGGCATTCTGGAGTTGTTCAGACATCCAGAGGAAAATTCATTCCACCACCTGCATGCTGGGACATCACATAAAATCTCGGATGTTTTCCAGCTCACTCTCGGAGTGTTCTGGCCATCGTACTTTAATGTACCTGTATACTGCCTGAGCTGCAGCTTAAGCTGGAGCTTGTTGTCCACTGTACTCTTCATAGCAGGTTTCTGTAGTGAGACTGGCAGACTCTCACTCACAGCAGCTATATGACAGGCACTCCTCCTGCAATATGCCTCTGTTTGGCTTTCACATGGCTTTGTGAGAGCATATCTGCTATTAGAGTCTTTCCAGTACATACTCAGCTCTGACACAGATTTTCAGTTTCTTAATGGCAGTCACCTAATTAATAGCACAACTATGTATTTATGTTCATTAGAGGCACTACAGCTTTGTGATCAGTAATTTGTTATAAACAGCTTTAGCTCTATGGAGTACTTTCACAGTGGCTGTCACTAGTGACTGTGGTTACATCCTTTTCTTTTTCAAGATCCTAGGGTGAAGGTGCTGAAACTCTTATGAGGGCTTCTTTTAGTCTCTTGAATGCAGAGCTACTGAGTATCCCAAGCCCACTGCTTATTTCTAGGGGTGTAATTTTTTTTAATTAAGCCTTGATACCGTACTTCTTATGTTTTCCCTTCATCAAACACAAGACATTCAGTAACCATTACTAACTGGTACTTAATAACTATCTGTTAACAGTAGCTTCCTAAAATATGCTTTATATTCAAAAGCTGTCCTAGTATGCTAGTGTATGTGGCGTCTTATGTGAATTATGTATTGTGGAGTAAATGTGTTAGTTACTTAACAGTGTACAGCTGGCAGACAGCGGCTGCTTACACAGTGGCAGCAGACATGGTGGTACAAGACTCGAACACATGCTGGAAAAATATTTATCAACACAACAATATTATTTCTCTCAGGATTAGATTCATGTGTGTGAGAAGATGCTGCACAAAATGTGCTGTGATGCGGCCACAGGATGCCTGCACAGTCCGTGTTAACACTTCACAAATTCTATTTTTAGCTGGATATTTATTTTATTTGCCTCTGTACTGCACCATTTTAAATTTGTACTCAAACAATCGACGTGGTTAAAGCACACGTTGTCAGGGTATTTTTTTTACATTTCAGTTTTACCACATGTATACATAGTAATACAAAGTTCTTCAAACAAAGTTTGAAGGAAATAGAATTAGTCCCTCTGACAAATTACAGGGCCAAAAAATCCTGCAAAATATAACTTTTTTATATGTAAAGCCATTTTAAACTCTTGGAATGGCTCGTGAAGCACACAAATTTTGCAAGCAGAAATTAATAAAACATAAATTTGTGAAAAACTTAGGAATACTTTCTTAAACCTAAATTTGACAAAAGTTTTTTTGAAAGCTGACTGAAAGATTCAATTTTTAAGATAAAATGTTGCACAATCTGACATAAAAAGTATATCCTTGAATAAATTAATCTGGAACATGAAACAGTGGATTTAAATGAAAATGTTATTCTTCATGTTGAATTTATACCCAGATAATATTTCAACTCAGCTCAGTCATTCTGTAAGCAGTTCAACTCAGTAATTAGAACCTAAAGTGGCAAACTTTAAAAATGCATAAATGAAAAGCAAAGCTGACGCACGTTCGGAAAAGTGGCGAGCCTCAAACCATCCTCACTCATAATGAACTCAGCCTTTGTTAGATGCTCCTTTTATACCCAGGCATGACTGAATCACCTGTTTAATATGTTTTTGAAACATTTCACATTTCTAGTCTTAAATTGCCCTTGTCCTAACTTTCATTTGCAATTTACCAACTGTGCCAATTTTGGAATTGGGTTTGGGGTTGTGGTTTAGGGTGACAAAATTCTTAATAAACATGTAACACTTTCTCTCACTTTTTAGGTTACAGTGGAAATGGTTATAAAATGTTAGGTAAAACTTCATAAAAAGTAATCATCTTCTACAGACAACATATGTGTGCACATTTAATGCCCGATTACTGTTTTATTTTTGTTTTATTAATTATTATTTGCCAAATGAAACATATTGGGAAAAAATACGTTGTGACCTGTGCAAGTGTTAATTCAGCTAATAAATAAAAACTGTGCACTAACAATGCCATATAAGTGTTAACTCATTTTAACTTCAATCAACAAAACATGTAATTCAACCAGCGGTGTTGAAACTTTTGCATACTACTCTACCTTTAAGCCTAAGTAAATGCGGTGATAGAAAATGTGGACTGATAAAGAAAATAGCACTTTATTGGCACAATAAAATTATATTATGATTTAGCATAAAAGAGCTTAAGAGCAGCCTAAAATACAGCATTAAAAGTTTCAGACCAAAACACAATGATTTATTTTGACAAATTTAGTAATTAAGGACAAGTATTTCAAAGGTTACTTTTCATTTTTCAAATTTCAAATTTTCTCAAAAATACTTTTTTAAGCAAAAATGTAATATTAAGAAAAATAAATCATAATAGCAGATAGAGGATAACAGGATAGAGCACTACATTTGAAATATAAAAGCACTGAATTTACTTGATTCACACGTGTACATCATTTCCACATGACTACATATATCCCTTATTATCAGCTTATACGACATGCTTTTTCTGGCACTGTACTTGCATAAAACAATTTTGGTTTACTTTTAATTGAAATAATATGTATCACAAATGTACAATTTGCATGAATAGTATGCTTAGACATTATTTATTATGGTATTGCTTTGTTGGTGACACACATTATTATTATTATTATTATTATTATTATTATTATTATTATTAAATAGTATTAAATATTACCAGTGATATTATTATGTAAAAATTGAGTATAACTATTAACTATTAAATAGTATTAACTATTATGTTGTTCTTGTAATTTTTTGTTTTTGCTAAACACTGAAGACATTTGGTTTAGAGATCAAAAGATAAATATGATGATATATAAGAATGTCAGCTTTTACTTCCTGCTATTCACATCTTGATGCTAAACAATAACTTGGAACATGGCAGATCACCCTTGCTTGTAATAACTGCATCAAGCAGGTGACCCATTAACATCAGCAAAATGCTGCATTCTCCTTCTGTGATACTTTTCCAGTTTTTTAGTGTAGCGTCTTTCAGTTGTTGCTTGTTTTGGGGGGTTTCTCCCTTTAGTCTTGGATTAACATCTGTTGACTGACTTGGTCAGTCTAAAATGTTTCCCTTTTTCCCCATGAAACGACTGAAGTCTTTTGTTGGGTTGGAAGTGTTTTTTGGGTCATTGTTTTGCAATATGATGTTCATCCTGATTAGACTGGATGCATTTCTCTGTAAACTGGCAGAAAGAATGTTTCTGTAGACTAAATTCATTCTGCTGCTACTATCATGAGTTACATCATCAATAAAGATTAGTGAGCCCATTCCAGAAGCAGCCATGCAAGCCCAAGCCATAACACTACCTCCACCATGCTTAATGGATGAGCTTGTATGTTTTGGATCATGACCAGATCTTTTCTTTTGCACACTTTGAGCTTTACATCACTTTATATCACTCATCTCTGTACTTCTTTGCAAATTCCAATCTGGCCTTCTGATTCTTACTGCTCATAATTGGTTTGCTTGTGATATGGCCTCTATATTTCTGCTCTCAAAGTCTTCTTTAAACAAGGGATTGTGATACCTTCATGCCTGCCTCGTGGATGTTGTTGGTGATGTCACTCTTGGTAGTTTTTGGGTTTTCTTCACAGCTTTCACTATGTTTGGGTCATCAATTGCTGTTGCTTTCCTTGGCCAACCTATTTGGTGTATGGTTGTTAGTACACCACTGGTTTCTTTCTTTTGTCAGGGCATTCCAAATTGTCGTATTGGCTATACCTAATGTTTGTGCACAAGAAAAACCTGTCAGTGACATGTTCCAGCATTTTTGCTCACTTGGAAATCCGGTGGGTTCAAATTAAATGTGTCATGTTCTAAATTGTTTAACACATCTACATGTCAATATCAGGAAATAAAATCTGAAGTTCTCATCTGTCATCTCATATTCATCTTTTGATCTCAAACCTAAATGTCTTCGGTGTATTGCAATGACAATAGAACTTGAATATTTTCAGAGAAGACTGTATATTCTTACATGAAAAAAAAGAACATGCAGTCATTGGCAAGATGATAGATGTAGTCTATCCAGGAATGTTTACTATGCACTTACATACTCAAAGAACACATTTCTTTAACGGTGAAATAGTACACACTGGATCAGATTTAGAAGTACTGTGGCCTGCAAGTCACCTCATACCAATACACTAGAGAATCAGGAAATCATGAATGACCACTTAAGAGTTAAAACGTCAGGTGTATCTAGAAACGTTGAATATGACTAAGCATGTATATCACTTAGATTTCATTTATAGGGATTTCCAGGGCTTTCAAGAATTGTGATGTGTTTTTGACAAAAAAATGACTTAAACATTAGCAATCAGGCTGCTAAACACATTTTTTTTTCATAGCCATAAATGCCCATCTTTACAAAGCATGCCAATAATGTATAAAAAATGCAGCATAAATGCAGAAGTCTTACTTTGGACCACTCAACATTATTCTTGATTGAGCATGATAGATTTTAGACTTATACCTTTCTGTGAGTATTTTCAAAGAATTTAAAAAGGCCAAACAATATTGTTTTTGCATATTAAAGCCATAATCACGGATTTGCAAAGAGTTAAGGTCACTTTTATACAAAATTTTGTTGACTCTAGGAATTTATACCCATAAATTTATTATCATTCTACAAAGTTGTTGCTTTGGGCTTTTTCTGTGAATTTCAGGGTAGGGTGCTATAGGCTGGAGTTTTCTGTAACAAAATTCCATGCAGTTTTGGTTGTAGGAAATGGTTGTTTGCATTATCTCCTGTATATGTAAATTAAATGAACAGGAATTTAGTTTCAATTTGGAGATATATTTCACTTTGGATTACTTCAATATTGTCAATATATTAGTACAAGAGGCTATGTTTGTTTTATTGCTGAGAATAGAAACCTTAGGTGCTAATTATTATTCTATGTTTAATAAATGAAGCCATGTGACTTAAAGCTTGACAATTCACTGTTTTTTGAGCTAGTTGCACAACTTGTTGTAATCTATCACTGCTGTCAGAACAAAACCTCATATCTCCATTGTTGTTCTTCAGTTTGTGACATAATTTGAAAATTCCTGTTGCCCTTAAATTGTGTGTAAATTTCATGATAAAAAGACCAAAGGAAATGACCCAAAATGGCTTAAAAGTAAAGTATGTTTTTATCTTCTCATGTAAAGTTACCATTTTAGAGATACAAGGTTTTGTTCCAACAACAGCACACATGGTGATTGCAATCAGAGTTAGGGTAATGTGGTACAAAGTAATACATTACAGTAATGTATTTACTTTTTCCTATAACACAGTACTAAAACACATAACATTTTAAATTCTTGTAATCAGTTACTGTTTTAATAAGAATTTTGTTACTTGTGTTATTTATTTGTCTCTAAAAGAATCATCTTAATTACATATAATGCATTTAAAACAAATGTTGTCTATATTATCTATGCTTGGCCTGCAGGTGTGCTACCTGCTTCAGCTGACTGGGGCACTTAGATTGAATGTGAGCAGTGCAGTGCTAGTACAGGAAACAACCTTCTACTGCCACAAACTGGACAAGCAATCTGTCAATGCATCAAATCATGCTAATAAACACTATATGGACAAAACATTGTGGACACCCCTCCTAATTACTGAGTTCAAGTATTTCTGCCACATTAATTGCTAACAGGTATATAAAATCAAGCACACAGCCATGCAATCTCCATAGACAAACACTGGCAGTGGAATGGGTCATGCTGAAGAGCTCAGTGACTTTAAATGTGGCACTGTTATAGGACGTGAAATTTGTGCCCTGCTTAATCTGCCCCAATCAACTGTACGTGCTATTATTATGAAATGGAAGCATCTACATGCAAAAACAGCACAGACCTGAAGCAGTAGACCATGCAAACTCAGAGAGAGAGAGGCCACTGAGTGCTGAAGTAAAAGTTGCATCACTTCTGCAGAATTCCAGACTGCCTCTGGAAGCAACGTCAGCAGAAGAACTGTGTGTTGGGAGCTTCATGAAATGGGTTTTCATCATCAAACAGCTGCACACAAGCCTGGGGGCACTTTCATGGTTTTGGAATGGGATGTCCAACAAGCTCATACATGTGTGATGGTCAGGTGTCCACATACTTTTGGCCATATAGTGTGAAACTCTCCATGCTGAAGAAGAGTATGCCCCAATCTCACCTTAACAGGCCACATTCAATTTTTATTCAGGAACAGATCCATAAACTTTCTAGGTTTTCAACAGCATAAACCATTTGTAATTTAATATTCATATCATTGTTTTTCTCTGGCTTCACAGGCTCTCACACTTTCAGAGATGTAATAAGTGATTTGTGATGGATTACTTTTTTAGGTGACTACTCCAACATTATTTGTAGTACAACAAAAATTTGCAATACAACAAAAGTTTTATAAAACTTATGTCATTGCTGGCCTCATTGTGGCGTTAGTAGTATAAAGAACATTACACATGTAGATTACACATGTGGTAACAACTTCAAGATAATAAGTAAGATAATAGTTTTCTCACAAGTATTTTAAATTTGGGAGATCCTTGAAAGCCTCAGGACTGATGACTGTCAGACTTCTGGTGTTTCTTATTTCTCTAAGAAAGAGCAAACAAGAATGACAATATGAAAAACAGACATTAAATGACAAGTGTGATTAACAAAATGATTACTGCTAGCATTTCCTCTCAAACAAATCCATAAAACTCATCAAACATAATGCATCATTAACTAGAAGTAGACGGTTTGTGAATGAACTTTAAGTTGGCTTGAAAAAGCCATTGCTACGGAATCCCAGGCCGGAGCTATGTTATCTTAATCAGTTGCTAAGGTATTGCTAGGCATTACTATGGTGTAACTCTGCAAACTTTTAATCTGTTTTTATGTTTTTTACTTTAAGCCTAAAACAATATATCTCAAAATGTACTTAAACAGGTGCCATTCACAGAACAGATGTATTGACATAATTTTCTATTTAAATTCCAGAAACAAAAATGAGTGTGATTTTTTTCATGTTTAATAGGCATTAATGTGCAGAGTGTATTATTTAATTTTATTTTAATGTATTTTTACAGTTCAGTTTGGCAGCACAGACTAGTATACTTAAATTATATAATAAGAGTGGTGAAAATAATATGACTAGTATACTTAATACATATAAAGTATGACACAAATATATATCAGGTACATATTAGTAGTGATTTAGTACAAATTAGTGGTTCCAAAATATCTTCAGTACAAAACTATGTAAGCACTACTTAAGTATACTTCCTTAGTATACACTAAGGAAAGTCATGTTATATTTTTTCAGGTAGTTTAAAATGATTTCCTTCAATAATACAAAATATTAAGTACAGTTCAATGTAAGCCTAATTTGATGAAGTACTTTTTCAACACAACATTCATCATATTCAAGTATTCTTCTATGAAGCACATAGTTAACACAAATTAATTGCTGTTTTTGTGAAAGTATAGTTTTGAAGCATACTTCATTGAAGAACAGTGAGGTAACATAGTTCCTTTGACATACCTTGCAAAAGCATAGTTATTTCATAAAATGAAGTCTGAAGTATATGATATGAAGTATATCATCAATGCCAAATTAGCAAACCATGATGGAGTATACTTTTCAAAGTAAACTAAAATATAGTTTCAGTTAGTAAAAAGTAGTTGGTATAGTGTAGTGAGTAATACCTCTGCCTTCTACACTGTAGACTGGGGTTCAATCTCCCACTTAGGCCAGCACCCTACACAATACCAATAAGAATCCTTGGGCAAGACTCCTAACACTATCTTCGCCTAGCTGTGTAAAATGATCAAATTGTAAGTCGCTCTGGATAAGAGCGTCTGCCAAATGACATAAATGTAAAAGTAAAATGTATCATAGAATGCATTTATTCATTATTTGAAATTGTTTTGTGATGTCTGCACAGAAGGTATGTGACTTTGGTTCGGGTGAAAAATGTTAAGAAGCAGTTAGGGTTGTAATGCTAATAAAGTTGAAACTGCCCCTCTCTTAAGTGTGAAACACTGAGCAAAGCCAGCTCGATACTGTCCAAGGTTTGTAAACCTGTCCAGAGTGAAATGTGCAGAGCAAACTAACAACTCTGAGTTAAAGTTGTCTGGGATCCTCTTAAACATGTGGGAGCTGAAGTTGGCTTCCTATTCACCAGCTTGTTATGCCAATTTCCTGTTCTGTTTCTTTCATTATTTAGGTAGACATAAGGTTTATTCAAGTTCAGGTTATTTGTTAATTTCCCCTTCACTCTTCTCTTCAGTTTTCAAAGTGAACATCTTCCCAATTCTCATTTATTTTTTGTTTTATCTTCCAATCTAAATATTCTGCAACAAAGAGATTAAGATTTAATAGCTATCTTTTGCAAAGTGAGGGATTTATGTTTTTAGAGCTGGATTTCATCGCTTGTATCAGTTTTTTGTTTTCTATGATTTCTCTCGCAAGAAACTTTTCAAGAGACTTTTCTTTTGCGGTGAAAAGCAGCCTTGTATCCATTTTTCTAAGAAGTTAGGTGGCCTAGAATTTTCAAACTTTGAGTTGTATTGCTGGTCGTTCCAGATGCAGGTCATTCAGGTTCGGCTTTGCTAGGACTCTCAGGTACCTTGGTGGGTTATTGTGGCCTTCTTAGCCAAACCACATCGCCTCCATGACATTCCCTTCTCTGCTAAGAAATGCATGGTATTCTTTATCAAATATGACCTGATTGTTAGCAACTTTCTACTGGTTTTTAGGAAACTTCAGAACACAAATATTAAAGCACCTTTCTATACAGCATCATCCCCTCCTTGGTGGCATTCTGCATTCTTGTTAGGTGAATGCTATCAAAAAAACATACTTACTATTTCACAGATTGAGTTGTATTCCATGCCTGGAAGATAACATCCCTTTGAATGCTACCTTATCTAAATATCCTTTGACCATATAGTTATCAACAGGTACTAGAGGTGTGTCCTCGTGTCTATATAGATGTTTTGTCTCTTGTGTTTCAGAGAAGATACCTGCTTCTGTGGTGTGGGATAGGGAGCTGCAGCGGAATATTACCCTTGGATGGGAAAGAATTTGGGGCAGTACTTTCTACTTTTCAACAAATCTTGCTCACCAGTGAATCAATTTTAAGCTCATCCACAGGGCCTACACTACCCCTCTGAAATGCAGTCAAATAATATTTAACTGGTGATCTGTACTACTATCTATGCAGCAGGAAAGCAGTTGGCACAATACTAAGCATGTTTCTGGACTGCCCCACTATTTCCACATTCAGTCAGGTTTGTCTGTTCCACTGGGTCTTAATATATTGGGCTTGACCTTCCTTGTTTCTTTTAAATGATGATTAGCAATCTTGCATTGCAAAGCAATACGATGCAAAAGTTTGTGCACCCAGCTTTTATCTCAATGACACAATGGTCACAATAGCACATATCACAATGATCCATTAGCAACATTATATTAACCATGTAGGATGTCACTGCAGCCACTTGTAATATCATAGCAACTGCCTAGAAATAACCTAGTGACCAACTGGAATACCATAGCAACAACCTAGCAACCCTTTGGGATACTATAACACCTACCTAGCCACACCCGAGCAACCACCTGGGATACCATAGAAACCACCTAACAACACCCTAGCAACCATCAGAAATACCACAGTAACCACTTAGTAACATCCTAGCAAACACTTTCAGACACCATAGCAACCATCTAGCAACAACTTAGCAAGCTTAAGCTGTACAAGGACTTTTCTTGTTCTTTAGTGCAGCTCTTTTTTCCACAGAGTAGATTTCACCTTGCCACACTCACAGCTGGAAAAACATATATTATACATATATATTTTTTGTGAATCCTTCCTTTGTTTAATACTTGCATTTCTAACACTTTTGTATATTGCAAAACATGATTTTCAATAAGTTTCAAGATACAATAAAAGTATTGTGTGCTTAGTCACATGTGGTGCTGCATTTCCAAAACCAGATCTGAGCTATGTGAAAGTCCCCACGATGCTTTTCCTTTTCCAAAATGGAAAGTAGCATATCCAGTGTCACCTTTGGTTTTTTGTGAGGAGCAACATATATATTTGTCATTTCTGCATGAAGACATTCTGCCATTTATTTTTGCCGGTGCAAAAAACATGGCAAAATTGAAAGTGCATTCTTGTGCCTTATGTCACCTTAAACAAATAAAAGTGAATGCCAGAGCAGATACTGTCATGGCTTTAAATGTTTAAATGTTTACACGGTTGCACACGGCCATCAATGAGGCACGAAACAACACTTTTTCCCAAGCCAACATGTAAACACAGCATTGCCCTGCTTAACTGCTTCTCCTGACAGCAGAAATGTAGCTGAGCTTTGCTAGTTCTTTGTGTAGGCTTCTTCTTACATAGCTAGGTAAAGAAAACAGTTCAATACTGTAAAAAATGAGAAAATTGCAGTCATCATCTATTTGATTTATCTATGGCTAGTGCTGTAAAATGTAAGATTCTGGTTAATTAGCCTGTGCCATGATATGCTGTCTGCTGTCATAATAAGTTAAATGGGAGCTCAGCAGTTTTGTATTATGTCGGATTGTGAATGCTACAATGAAGTGGGCTAGTTGGCTAGCTGGTAGTGGTTGAGGCAGTTTTTCTTGATTTGCACAAGGCCTATGACACAGCTAATCATCAAATATTAAGTTTTACTAAGTACGTGTGGAGATTCAGAGATTCTGGTATAGCCATGGGATGAATGTGGTACAAGCTGCTGCCAAATTGTTAGTTTTGGATAAAGCTGCAAAGTGGCTCAGTGATTCCAGTTTGAATGTTGATAAAACAGTCACTGTGTGTTTCACTACTAAAAAAAAAAGAGGGATTAACCTGAAATTTTGATAAACAGCCTGAAGATGAAAAATGTGGATGTGTGAGTCTTAGTAGTAAAAAAGGTAAGATACAAAATAACAAATATACCTGGCCAATGTTAGACATAAAAAAATACAAAAAAGTTGGGATGCTGTGCAAAATGTAAATAAAAACAGAATGCAAAGATGTGCAAGCAATTTAATTTCTCTATTTAATTAAAAAAAGATCAACATATTGTATTTAGAGTTTGACAGTGGTGATGTTGTAATTTCCTGGCAAAAATGTTTATGGGCTGTTTATGAAATAATTCAAATTGTTCACAGCTACCTTACTTGCCTGATGACAACAGGACATATTTTAAAAAGTTCTAGAGGCTTCCATTGTACAAAATTTCCAAAAAAGTTGGGACGCTGTAAATAACAGAATGCAATGATGTGCACATCATTTAAACCCTATATTTAATTGAAAATAGTACAAAGACAACATATCAAATGTTGCATGTCTATATATGTCTATATATGTCTATATATGTCTAAGTTAGCACAGGGCATTTTTACCACTGTTTTGCATCACCTCTTTTTTAACAACACTCTGTAAGCATTTGGGAACTGAGGAGACCAATTGCTGTTGTTCTGAAAGTGAAATGTTTTTCTGTTCTTGCTTGATATAGGATTTCAGCTGCTCTACAGTTCGGGGTCCCCTTTGTCTTATTCTTCAATTCATAAAGAATCAAATGTCAGTGAGTGACA